TACATCTGCAATATACGGGTAGAATATTTTGAGAGTTCAAACTCGACACTTCATGTACATGTACAATCAGTGACAATGAAAAAGTATCACGAATGTTCAACAATTCAGTGGGGAATGACAAAAGTGAGAAAGTGCATCCCTCCCGGAGACCTCACCATTTCAGAATCCTGTGATCCTGTTGTAATGATTCTATTTAAAGACAGGGAAATACCCACATTTGTCATATTTGCTATGTGCAATACTGTTCTTCAGCCAACATTCTTGCCAAAACCAAGTGAGTGAGAGGTGCATTTTAAGACTTCATCAAGAGACAGCCAATGCCATCTGTACATCACAGAAGTCCAAGTGAGTACTAACTGTACTGTATGATCTTTTTGAATACTAACACATACAATACCACACAATCTACTCGTACATTGTAAAATACAATTCAATTCATAAATTTCCTATTCACCAATGTGCAACGTAACTGTGTATTAACCACTTGCTGCCAAGTGACCTTGAAACTGGGACAAAAGAATTGGGCCCTATAACAAAAGACCATGCTCGGCACAAAAGACTGAGCCGCTGGGCATTTCCGACATTTTTTTGCTCTCAATAGTGGAGAGAATGCCAGTTTCAGGAACAAAAGATTCTTACGTAACACCACACAATTTGGGCTCTTTTTACAAGGCTGCAGGCCTGAAAGAAATATTCCGGAATCTATGGAAGTTACCTGTCAGCTTAGAGTAGCGACCAAAGAGTCCTTCCTGTGGGTGGAAACATCCATTATTAAAAAATGAAATGATGGATTTTTTGAAGAATTTTGAAATCTGAAAATCTTGAAAATCGCCCCGTATGTGTGCACTGCATCTTTATAAGAACCCAGCAGCATGTGGTTTACATTTGATAACGCCTACTGTTTAACAACACACTGGCACCTGAATATGAGGCAGTTTAATTTATTCCTATTGGTCACGAGTCTGTGTGTGCCACAGTGCTCAGAACTCGTTACAGGCACACTAACTCCATATAGGAAGATTCTTCTCCACATTACTTGAAATAAGGAATATAACACAAAATGGACAGAAGTGTTCAAGAAAATGAAAGTAAAATTCTTGAACAAAATGCTTGACACTCTGAGTGAAATGTTATTTATGAATGAGAATATATAATCATGTGTTTGGTCTTAAACTTACATTTACAACAAGCTCAGGAGAATGAATGCTAATAATGCTCAAGTCTCAGGAGAGGGCATCAGTCACATCCATCCTCCTGAGCCGGTCTTAAACACACTTCTAAGACTGACCAAGCACATAGCAGTATTGACTTTCTTCACAATAAAATATGTCTGTCTGTACATGTAGTAGCATTAGGGATTTTTCTCAAATGACATGCATCTCTGTGTGCATTGTATACCGCTCGCTTCCTTCAATGACAGCTCAAAACTCACATTCTCAGACAGAAATTTAACACATATAGAGTACCGAAGTGAATATGTCACGCGCACAATTAGTGTGTAAAAGGCATTAGCCAGTGAACCAGCGCGTGAACCAACAGGCGTGCGTACTCCATTCGTTTGCACTGCAC